ACTTCTCTTACCTCATTAGGACGTTGTAAATTTTTCAACATATTAGTTATGGTAGAAAACTGAGCAGTTACTGAATCATTACCCTCTAATTCATATTCTCCATATATTTTTCTACCGGTTCCTAATATTGTATTTGCGAATTGATAATCATTATTTGCTATCATATCGAGGATATCAAAGGCTTCCTCGGGTGATTTGTCAAGTAAAGTGCCATTTGCTGAGGTATCTAACATCATTCGAGTAGGTGCATTAACTCCGTTGTAAAACATAACTACTTGAGTCCAGTCATGAAATCCATGGTTGACACATTTACGAAGTAGACTTTTATACCTATCCCAACATTCGTACATTGATTCATCATCTCCTTGGAAAAAACTTGCAATATCATTGCGAAGCTGTGTATTCATATTGGGCGGATTATATCGAAGTAGAAAACTCTAGCATAAATCTACCCATGACTCCATCGAGCCTGAAAGAACTCCACTGAGCCAAGCTCTCGTTCTATTGCGTAGGGAATAAGGGAAAAATTTTAGTTTAAGCACATCTTCATACACTCCTTGTTATCGAAACGAGTCGCATACTTCAAGGAAAGCACGAATATGTTGTCTAGCATCCTCATTGGGTGAACAATCGAATTGGCTGATAGAATTTAGCATATTAAACATCACTAGTTTAAGCTCAAAATGAGTTGCTTGTATCTCATGTGCCACTATTCCTGGATTGAGGTCATCAAGAATTGGGTTCAAATGATCTTGTATCGCTCTTGGTCTTGCAACTTGAAGATTAATTGTTGCATCTGGATCGTCGTGATCTCCCATGTTGTTGCCTTGTAATTGTAGTTGGTTTAAATGTTCTCTGGTTCTTTGGTTACGTAGCCTCTGTCTGAATGATTGTTCAACTTCAGGGTCGAATGGTTTCAATGGTTTACCAGCAGATCTCAGGGTCATGCAATAAAAACCTACAAAAGAAAATAATAAACTACGTTAGACAAGATAAATATAAGGCGACAAGAAAAACTTGCTATGGTGAATAAAAATTTCGTCAGTTGCCAATCCATGGCAATGGCGCCAAAAACTTGATCGTTTGTAAATGTATATACTAAGGCAAGCAATTTTGTGCAGGTATACACAATCGAATCAAGTAATATAGGGTAAGTGAGTTATCATCTCCTCTGGGATTGGTCTACGATTTTAATCTTCTCCACAACTAGAACAAGTTGTCACAAGCTAATTCCTATTATCTTGTCAAACTAAAAAGCTAATATTAATAAAACAAGGAAATAATATAATGTATGATTGCAGAAAAGTTTGGTTGAGATAAAATAAATATGCAGACTATTGAAATAAACAAAATAAAGACAAGTGTTGATTTAAATATTTTGCAAACAACCTCACATGTTCAGACTTACCACAAAGCACTTATGCTAATATTTTGCATTAACAACAATTATTCTAAGTATAGAGTGAATTATTATGACTTGATGAGTTAAATTCGTACTCACCGACATTAGGCATATTCATAAATTCTGGCTCGTACAATGCATCATAGTTAGCTCATATATGTGTGTTGGAGGTTCAATGTGCATCGTATTTGCGGAAACTTCATCTACATCATCATCATCGAAGTCTATGTTGAGCTGTAGTGATTTGGGCTCAACGAATTGTCCATTCTCAATACCATTCTCACCGGGCTCACGAAGAGGTTCTTATAGTGGAGATTAGGGTTCCTCTGTGATGCCGATATTTAGGTCGAACAAGATGGCAGTTGAATGTCTTCCCCTTGAACTTAAAGCCATCGTATCAAATGGGTTTTGAACTGAACGTTGTGTCATAGGCATATCTACATTGAGGTCGAAGAAGCTCGTAGTTGAATGTCTCCCCTGGAACTTGAAGGTATTGTATCAAATGGACACTGAACAAATTACTGCATCGAGGGCATCTCCATATTCAGGTCAAATAAATTGGTAGATAAATGTCTTTCCCTTAATTGGAAGCGATGATGCCATACAGATTGTTCGTAGAGGCACATCGGTAAAGATCGTAACAAGTTGCTGATGAATGTTTCCCCATTGAACTTGATAAGATGGTACCATGATGTGGATTTCCCATTAACGAGTTAAAATCATTACACATTACTTGAGTTGAGCTGTCAACTTGATTAACTTGTTGAGCCAGCCCATAGTGGGAGCATAATGATATATCACGAACCGCATATACTTCAAAAAATTTGGCATACATTTATATAACAACGTCTGAATTTTAATTATGAGCATCAACCATCATAGCAACATCGTCATCGTTGGAAAGTTTGAACTTTGTATAAGTTAATGGAAATAGTGATGTTGGAAATTTGTACTGAAATGAGGACAATATTCTAGTACTTCCAACATAGATATTCTTTGAAATTTTAGTGATTAGCTCCTCAAGAGTAATGTTCCTCTTGAAGGGATAAGCTGACAGAATCATTTGATGCAAAGACAACACTGATTCTATCTTCCCAAATTTTTCCATCATAATAAACAATAGCTGAAATATACATCATTTTGTGAGTTTGAAATATTGAGTCTTATATCCGCAAAAAACGACGTTAATTGTTTCTAATATACGAATTGAAATATAAACTAATACTAATTTTTTTTAAAATATTTACAATAATTTAAATAACACAATTTAATATTATTACTGTATCGAAAAAAATATCTCGAGATATAATCTTGTCTTCTATTTTAAAATCACAAAAAGAAATAAAACATAATTAATACAATAAATTTGGTCAAACAATTAAATATGAAATAAATATAATATAATAAAAATAATTTTACATTCTAAAAACTATAAAATCTTTTACTTAGCTTAATAAAAAGAATTGATAGAGGAAGAATATTGTTGAATTTGTGTGTGGTTCGATATTTACATTTGAGTCGATATTTATAGGGGAGGGGATGATCAATTGTCGGCCTGGGTAAATAATTGAAGGGGCAATGGGGAATAATGGAAGGCGCGGATAATGATCCACACCTTCCAGCATGTGTCAGAATCCCATCGAAGGCGCGCTTGAGAACCCACGCTTTACTCTATGGCGCCAGCTTGGACAGAAGGTGCGCTTGATGATCCGCACCTTCCATCCACGTATGCAAGGCGCATTTGATCAACTACGCTTTACTACCAAAAGGTGCTAAATCAATAATATTTGGAGAAACGACATCTGACAGGTAAATAATATATATTTAGATATTTTTGGGTAAAAACGCTATCAATTTACCCATCGTAATCATGAGGACGCACGCTTGGGATGACAAGTTTTGAAAGACCCACGTAATAATCAAAGAGGACAACACTAATATCATATTCATGACAAAAACAGAATGATAGGTCGTGAAAAGGCAGACGTCCACCAAGAATTTACTCATCCAATCAGTATTTTCAAAATCAGATCGGACTGGTCGGTTCAACCAGTTCAACCGGGAATCGTTATTTAATTCGGTTCAATCTATACAGGTTGAATCGCTATTAGTGAACCGGCCGAAATCGCTGAACCGTTCGAACTTGACCGGCTGAAAACCGGAAAAACCCGTCAATTTTTTAAAAAAAATTTAAACCAAATGACGTCGTTTGTTAAACAAGCCAAGTCGAACTCGAGTATTGCTGAGCTCGACTCGAACTTGAAAACTTTAAAAGTAAGCTCAACTCGACTCAAACTCATGAGTTAAAAATTATCAAGTTCAACTCGAACTCGAAATATAATATTGAAACTTGAACTCGAAAAAGCTTGAACTCGAAAAAAATTTAGAAGCTCGATTGAAGCCTAAAATTCGAGTTTGATTGAAGTGAAAGAATAGTTCACTCAATGCTCACCAAAAGGCTCCATGATTTTGAATGCCAAATTACCTCTATTATTTATAGAAGTTAGTTAGGATGCTCTTCTATGATTCTTATCCATGTAGGATTGTTTTGTTCTTATATTTTTTTCTCTTTAGACTTTTGGGATGCTCTTCTATGTTTCTTAGCCATGTGAGATTGTTTTTAAAAAAAAATTAAACCAAACAATATCATTTTGTTATGATTTTTTAGCCCTAAATTTATTTTTTAATTATAGTTATATAATTATATTTATTATTTAATATGTTTTACCTTAAATATTATGTTGTAGTTAATTTGAATTATTGTTTCACTTGATTTTATGGTTTTTAACTTATATATGTTATAACTTGCTTTGAATATGACTTGTGATATAAAAAATTATTTTTTATTAAATATTTTTAGTATTTTTATTTAATTTTTTAAATAATTATGACGTTGTCCGGTTCTTCAGACCGATCGAACCGGTTCGACCGGTTGAACCAGTGAACCGGTAGCATAGCCGATAACCGGTCCGGTTCGTTAAACCATGCATCCAGTCCACATCATCACTTAACACCATTTGCATGAACTGCCCCAGAACAGACCTCTTCTTCTTACTTATCAAGTCCTGCAGATTCAACCGCTGATTGATGTACAACACTATCACTGCACTTGAATGAATATCAGGTTTCAAGCCATCAATTTATATTTCTCTTGCTCTTAGATTCCAACCATCCATCATATTCCAAGTCATGATTGTGTTTTTTGCGCCAAAACTTTCTTCAAGGTACAAGACACCCACCGATTTGAATCCTAACATATATTTTTCTGTTTTCTGCCTAAAAAACATAACAAACCATGCTTCCTCTCAATGAAAATAAACCACAAACCAAAGAGGCCAGGAACCTGTTCCTGAGACTCCAAGGATCAACCAAATATAACTAAGCTATTCAATCTAGAAACTATAGACGTTCCATAAGCAATTGTTCAATATAATTGGAACTCAAAATCCAACACAAAGCAGACAGCCCAAGGAAAGATGGCATCATGAAATTTCCACAATTGCCTTGCATCTCATACGATCAAACAACAATCCTTCCGAATAACACATGAACCTAAATACCCCCTTTGATTTTTTTATTATCTCCATTTCAATGTTAAAGTTTAAGATATCTACACAGGGAAGAAAAGGTGTAACAAAGACAATAGATAGATAGACAGTTAAGTGTAGACAGTTTAGGCTTTGTGATTCTTCACCATGCCATCGATATCCAGCTCTACTTCCAACACTGGAGAATCCTTTCGCATGCTGTAATGACTGTGACCGGAACATAAAATTTTCAACACAATCAACAGAACTTTTACCTAATGTGAAACCAATGCTTTTTAGTTAAATAATTACTATAAAGGAGTTACCTATTCTGAAGAGGACCATGATCAACAGCTGTTCGCAGACAATATATAACTCGACCAACTATGTCAGTCATGGGAACTGGACCAAATACCCGACTGTCCTTAGCGTCCTATCATCTCAAACAAAGAAAAAACGAAGACAAAGCATAATGAAGAATATGGGTCAGGTTCGTCAAAACCATATAAAAAAAGTTTAATAATGCATGTAATAGCTAACAAGCAGCCTCTAGAATCAAATATGTGAACCAGATTACTGTTTGTTTTATAGATTTATATAATAAGAATAACAACCCAAACTTTTATTGGTTGTATTACTAATATTTTATGCCTTGGGCTTCAATTTTTCATTGTCAGCCAATACCCAGCACTGGTCCTTTTCAAGAACAAATGGCTCATCTTTTTCATCCTTAGACACCGTTTCATATCCTTCAGTGGCAGCCAATCTTCTGACGAGATAGTTATCAGAATTTTCAGGGTCCTTCACAACAATGACATCCCCAACAAAAATTCGGCTGTCCAGAAAAATCATAAAGTTAGTAACCCTTGAAATCGTATCCAAACCCAATATGAAAGATATATTGAACAGAAAGAAAATCATAACAAGATTCGGTTCAGAGAGCATTGATTGAATCATCAAGCTCATGGGTGACGATGCCAAGTTAACATACTTTTTACCACTGCTTATTTTCAGAAATATGTGATAAACTGATGCTCAGAATGATTACAATAATTAAACCTAAACGAACAGCATAACCTTCACAGAGGTTACATTCACAGGTGTTTAAATGAATTCATTATGATTCATAATGGACCAACTCAAACCAGAGTTACAAAACCATAAGTTAATTTCTCAGATGCTGTAATAGAAGCATTACTTTGGGTCTGTGGATTGAATCTTCCGTACAAGAAGAGTACCCCCTTGTTCGCCAATAGTTGGGGCCATCGCCTCTCCTTTACTCCAGTGTAAGAAAGTCAATTTTCCCTGAAATAAATATTTTCAAACTGCGTCCTGTAATTCCTGTTCATTGATTTGACCTCTCACATAGCTCTGTTCCACATCAAGTTCCTATTAAAATAGTATAAGAATGCTAGCAAGAAAATACGTAGCCAAAGTTCTGCGATTTCTGAAGCCAATAAAATTTATGTAGCAAAACAAAACGGAAGCAGGAACCAACCATAGAAGCCACCTAAATAAAAAGCTCCAGTGTCAGCAATAAGTATCTCAACATCATAAACTAAGCATAACGACTTTACAAATATAGCTGATGAACCTTTATTCTATTTTTTAATATTCCTCTAATCTTCTTTAAATTTCCAACTTTTTTACTGAAAAAGATTTAGTGATACGAAAAATGGTCGAAACCCTATGCCACCCTCTAATCCTCTACTACAAGATTTTCTTAATTTAATGAAAATTGCAGTTGCAAACTTATTCTTGAACTATTGAAAAGCCAGCGCCACAAAAATATTCCAGTGTGGTATAAATTGAAAAAGAACAAAGAGTAATCACTCTCACTATCTTCACCAGGTACCAAAAATCTGATATATTTCCCCATCTACCCTATTTATATAAGATCTTCTACCTTTTAACAAACCCCGCATTGATGGACTTAGATTGTCATATTTCTTTTCCATCAAATAGGTTTCTAGAATCATACTTGCATCTAGACTATACAGCATTCCACAATGTATGTGACTCGATTGTAGCCTTTGTTCTAATCAAACCTATATTTGAACACTGAGTTCAATATTCTGTCAAAGAAAATGTTTCAAGCAAATCATTTACATAACAATATCAGTTAAAATAAGGAATTGACATATCATAGTCGATGAATTTCCATACACTTGCTAAGAATTTCACTAGATGCAATTATTTTTGTTATTTAAAAAAGATGCATAAATCATAAAGGTACAAACAGATTATGGAATTCCAAAACCAGAACCATTATCATGATGAAATTATCCAAGCTCAAAACCCTAAATTCAAAACTTTATAACAATCCAAAACAAAAAGTTCGTGCATTAGAAAAGAAGAAATGGACAACATGAGTGAACTACCCAAACACTCAAAAGGAAAAGTCTCCACATTTACCCTATAAAACGATCATCAAAAGAACTCAAAATCCGTTTCTAAGTCATCAAAAATACGAAATAAGCCACACCCAATGCTCCGGAATCATTAGTTTTCCGCATATGCATTAGAGAAAACATAAAAAAGAAAATTCGAAATCAAACACTAAATGTGAACAGAGGAAAGATAGAGAAGATGCGACCTTCATGCCGAGCGTGAAGGTGTACTCCATCTTGTGAAGTAAGTATCGACACCATGTCGACAAAGAAACCATTGCCGGGTTTTAACCGAAATGCTTTGTTCGTTCTTTCCAGAGTTTCCAGGTTGTACAGCTCTTTCTGTTAAACCTCTTGGTGGTATTTTATCGGGTAAACTGTAACATTGGTCATTTTAGTTTAATATTTGTATACTTTTTGTCATCAAATTTCAAAATTTTAATTTTAATAAATTAAGTTATCACTTTATTAATTTTTTTTTATGAAATAAGAGCACGAACAAGAGTTAAACAACAGCTTCCATATCATGAGCAGAGTAGTCTTGTTGCAAGAGAGAAGCAACTTCCAAAGGTGGCGTGGAGAAAACTATGTCAACAACACCTCCTATTCCAGCCATCTTCGCTAGCTTATTAGCAACTTGGTTAGCGGCCCTCTTCAAGTTCACATTCCACTGCCGGTTTAGCAGCTCTGTAATTCGGTCTAGAAGGGTAAAGGACGATCCTCTATGAAAGGTTTGCTACAACATACGAAAAACCTCCAAGCTATCCACTTCCAACATCACTTGTCTCTCACCAAGGTTCCAAGCATGAGTAAGACCTTCATGAACACCCCAGAGCTCCGCCTCAACAATAGAGCATATCCCAATAGCTGTAGAGAAACCAAGAATCTAACCACCATCGAAGATCGAATAAGCCCCCCACAAGAAGCGAAGCCATTAACTCTACTTCGGAAACAATCAGTATTAACCTTACACCAATTAAGAAGAGGCAGAGACCATGAAACAGGCACGATGTTCACCCGATCAGAAGATTGTACTGTTGGTAATACTAGTTTAAGAGCTCGGATAGCTTCAAACTCGAGGTGCCTACTCCTCTCTAAAACAGTCTCCTCCTCAATATTTTTCGGATAAAAAATCCTCATATTACAGTTGTTCCAAATCGACCAAAGAATCGAGCCAAAGAGTAATTAAGTTTTAATTAGTTGGAGTTTGACTATTGTTAATTAATTTTTATTTTAACCTTTAAATTTTAAATAAATATCCATATAGTTTATTTTATAAACCTGTCATAACCGGTTTTTGTATGGGTATGAATTTCCTTGGCGGAAAAGTATGTGAATAAATAAATGGCTTTTTAAGGAAATGTTTTAGAGTCGCCATCGATCTTTTTGAGTTAGGTAGGTCAAATACCTCAAAATCACCTTTTAAGAGAGTTTTTAAGAAAACATCAGTTAAAAGATAAATCGATCTGCGTTTAACCAAAAAATCATTCTTTTTAGTAATAAAAAGGGATTCGTGGTCGGTTACGTTTAGGGAAGGATTAGCACCCCTATAACTCCCAAAATTGGTACCCTTCGATTATAAATTGTCTCTAGTAATAGAAATTTAAGAATTCGAATATGAATTTAATTTATGATCCTATTATTTCAAATTCAATTGGATAATTCTAAGGAAAAATATAATTAAAGTATATATATACATACATATTTATATATAAGTAGGGTATTTATTTAAAATATTAGAAAATGACATCTAGTTACTTTAAGACATCCCATTTCTTAATATTAATAAATAAATATTATCCTTTCATATATATATATATATATATATATATATATATATATATATATATATTATTAAAATAAAATAAAATAAAGAATAATAATTAAAGTACTAAATTAAAAATATTAAAACTAAAGGGGTAATAATAAAAATAAAAATAAAATATTGACCAAAATAAAGAAAATTAAAATTATAGTATTAAAATGTAAAATATCAAAACTCATGGCCCTAATTCGAATTATTAAAAATCTATATATTGATAGTGTAATTTAGCCTTAATTATTAATCAGTGATTAAAATATAAAATATTATAATTGAAAGGACTAAATAGAGTATTTTACCTTAAATATATATCTATATTAATTAGTGACTAAAATAAAATAAAGTAAAACTTTAAGACAAAATTAAAACTAAAAAAATGATTTTAGTGGTCAAAATAACAAGTTACAGAACTCAAAGGTACTGCGGACATAATTTTCCCATAAGGGAAATTACACAGATAACCCTCCCTTAAAATGACGTCGTATGAGGGAGGGTATTTAAATCCTAAAATCAACCCTAAAGGCCAATCCACCTTTATTTTTTTCATTTTTGGTTCTATCTTTAAAGAGAGAACCCTTTTGCCTCTCTCTAGGTTTCCCTCGCCGGAGGGAAACCAGTCACCGGCCAGTCGCCTTGCTCTGGCGCCGACCACCACCGTGAATTTACAAACAAACTCCAAAATGGCCTTCTTTTCCACCGAAACCCGAATCTAACCTCCCTTTAACCAAAAACTCCTTTAATAAGTCTAGATCTACGTTTTTACCTTCAAATAAACAGAAGTTTGATGACGATTTGGCTTCCTCTGTGAGTTTTTATCCTTTATATTTACTTTTGTTCTTACTCTCTGCGTTGTTATTCGTCTTTTTTGTTCGAAAATGGTTGTCTTTCAAATGAATCTCCTCGTATTTTCTGTTCGGTTTTTTTCTCTCGTCGTGTTTTGTTGTGTTTGTTGCTAAGTTGTTGTCTTCGTGTATTGTTGGTCATGGTTTTCTTCTCTACAGGTCATGGCTTTTATAAGCCATTATAGAGCTCCTTTGGGACTGGTCAAAGAAGCGATATTCGGTGAGTCACTTAACTATAGTGGTGACTCACCCTAGGGCTTCAACGTGGGCGGTCGTCCATGCTTCCTTTGGAGGCTTCTTCGGAGGTGTGGCAGCAGTAGAGCATCGACAGTGGCTGGATGAGGCACATGGTAGTGGAGGCGACGGTTGTTTATCCTTGATCCAAGGAAACGTCGCTGGAGATAGGGTTTAGACCCTAAATGGGTTTTGGGTCTTATTGGGTTTGGACGAGGCCTGGATCGGGTCTGGATCTCTTTGATCTGGGCCTGAATTAGATTTGGGCTCCAGTAGTAATTATTTTCGGGCCGATCATAATAATTATAACATTAATAATAATAATAATAATAATAATAATAATAAAATGGGGAAATAATTAATGTCTACAGCTGCCCCTCTTTGCTCATTCTTGTATTAACAAGAATAGAGCAAAGACGAAAAGACAATAATTTTTTTGTCCATTTGACTTTTCTTGATTAAGATGGAGTTGTTGATGTTGTTTTATCTCCTTCTGCGATAGAGTCGAGCAAAAAGTTGAATAAGTTCTTCAGATTATGAACTTCTTCTTCCTCTTCATATGAGTTCTTCTTATTACGAACTCTTTCTG